GGTCCCTTCCATAACAAAAGTAAATAATGAGCTTAGATCCTGTTCAAAGTGTACACAAATTGTTGCTGTTTGCAGGTTTATGTTTCTCTATGGACATATTTAATGTGAAATTCAATTCTAAAACTTTAATTTTTACAAAAGAATAACTATTAATATGAGATCCTATGATTTACATATAAATGTTTTCTTTTGTTGGTAAATACCTTTTTAAATACCTTGCAAAAATAATTTAATGTTCTACTGAACCAGAGCTATTTGCTATATTAGTAAAAGTGAAATAACACCCATTATTTTTTACATTTCTGTAGCTATTTATTTGTTAAAAAAAATTTCAGTCACTTTTTAGGTTAACAAAAAAATTGTTATATTAAAAGGAGATCAGACAATATGAAAAATTTTTTTGTTATTTATTTTGTTATATCAGCCAACCCTCAGCCTAASCTTCCCTCGCCGTCTTCAAACACACTACTGCTGCCTTGCCTTTGAGTCTGAGTGAGATGGTGCAAAACCTCACCGTGTATCATAACTCTGTTCTATATGTACTGTAAATATAAATACTCCATATTTTATCTGTAATTTTAACTCTGTCCTCTTGTGTCTGTCTGCTGTACAGCACTATGGTTGGCCTTGTGCTGTTTAAAGTGCTTTATAAATAAAAGTGGTGTGGTGTGGTGTGGTGTGGTAAAATGGCTGTGAGATGACAGTCTGGAGGAGGAAACTAAATGAAAACAAATTCATAATCAGTGTGCACTACCAATGCAATGCACACTATTGTGATTCGTTTCCTATCCAAGTCATCTCAACTTTGCCATGCTTCTCCTCCTGCATACTTTGTCCTAGAGCTGCCATTGTAATTTATATCTGTAAAGCTCCTGTGCCAAATGATGGCTATGCCTTTTAGTGCCTGTACAACTTATAGTTTTTCAAATATTAATGTTTAATAAATTATAATGGCAGTCAATGGAGCCTTGTATTGGTCCAATACTGCCCCCTGCTGCCTCTACACAATATGATACGCCATAGTTGATGATGCACCATAGTTTTATAATATTTAAACTCAGTAGTTTAGTGATTATAATATTAATATGATTGTATTTTGATGTTTTACTGTTATACTGTCTTTATGTTGTCCTAATGCTGTAATATATTGCACTTAAGTGTCAATAATTGCATTGGCAAGGTAAACTTTTTCTGTATACATACGATCCAATCCCTGGGATTGTCCTCTGCCACATCTCCTATAGTCTCATGATGAGCACTGTGGGCTTTCATGTGGGAGACCAGGGTTCAAATCCAGCTACTGCTACTTTAACAAAAATCTCTTCAAACTTCATATTGTYACACAATTACCTTAATTACAAACACCTGCTGACGTGACAGGCACAAGCTGGTGTAGAAAACACATCTGAACATGGTCAAAGTTCATTCTGCAAGTCCAATACTGCAGGCAGACATGCTGCAAAGACATGCTACTTGGCAATGCACACTTGTTTTTACATCGTAAAAACCCATGTCTAGTTTATTATTTTTTTGTTTTTTCTCTTGTGGATTTTTGTTGGTTTGTTTACTTTCTTTTCGTGTTTGTATAGGAGTCAGCACTGGGTTTTCTACTTGTTTTTTTGTGTTTATAACTGATGTAAAATCAATCAATCAATCAATCAATAAATAAATAAATAAATGGTAAAATTTTAGTCGCCCCCGGTACCGGGGGCATGGAGCTCAAGAGATTAAAAAAGATTTCATGCAGCAGATTCTGACCTCCTTGATGTTGAGGGGTCTTCCGTTCAGGTCGTATTTATTCATGGTGGACACGGCCTTCTTCACAAACTCTTCATCTTTAAACTCCACCACACTGAAGAAGAACAAGAGTCAGCACACCGAGCCAGAAACCCCCTGAACAAAGTCTAAATAACAGAAATACAGGTTCTTACCCACAGCCCTGAGCGGGGGGCATCACGTCCATCCAGGTGGTACAGAAAAGGTAAATAAAATACATTTAATATAAAAATAAAACAACTATAAAACTCTTGAATTATTACACTTCAATGTTTCATACGTACTGAACCCACTGACCAGAGCCAGGAGGTTTTTATAAATAACACTTATTAAATGAGAAATATTCATTATTTACTTAATAACCTAGAGAATTTAAACAGGAAACACATTTTAAATATTCAACTAAACAACAATAAAATGGTAGCAGTTGAATCAATTATAAAAGGCATTAATAAAAACTGAGTAATAATATTATTAAAACCAGTTTTGCTCCACTGAAGAGAAAGCTGTGGCATTTAAAAATGATGGGAAAATATAAAGTCTATTTATTTTGAGGCAACCAATCAGATAAATCCCACAAACCACATTTCCATTTGGAAAATGTCCAAACAAACAAACAAACATTTAGACCAATTGAAATGACAACAACAAAAGCAAAATTAGAAAAAAAAGGACTCTTAGGAGTTCTTTAGGCTACGGTTCCAGAAATCAACAGGACATCTGCCTTCAGATAAATGTCAGTAATTCTCCATCTGAACCCAACCTACAGTATCTCCAGTTCAGTAGAGCCAAAAGATTAATGAGAGCCTGCTGAGGGCKTTTAAAACCTCGTGCAGCAAGTCGGCCACATCACTTACCCTTGACTTTCCTTCTGCATCCTTAAAGAGCTCCACGTATGTAACCTCACCGACTACATGAGACATACAAAGGAAAAATACCAAGAGAACAAAAGGCATTTCAGTCACCAAGTCTTCAAGTGGTCGCTGGCCTTGGCAACGCCGCTACAGGTGGAGATGTGCCATAAAGCTCAACAGTCAGCCCAGACCAACATCCCACCAGACAACACCCTGCCTCGCCGGCCGGGCAGAGACCGACACACCCAAAGGCCAAGGCCAGAGAGAAACACACCTACATAACCTGGGAAATTCAAAAGACTTCGACATGTTAACAGGTTCCATTCATGGCAGTAAAAGGCTTCTTCTCAGCCCGCTCGTGGAGAAAGGAAAACATTAAAACATTTCAAGTCATGGTCACCTTGCAGCAAAAACATTCAACGATGGTGTTCTACAACTAGTTGGAGGTTACAGTTTGGAGCTGCCAATGCAATAAAACAAGGGACAACTTTGTCCTTTTCTCACAGACGAGTCAGCCCAGAAACCAAAAACCTAAAATCATACACAGTTGTTTCCTTAGCTCGTAATGCTACCAGGACATGAAAAAATCTAAAACTAACAGAAAACAGGAAGCTCCATCTGATAAACAGAAGACTGATGAGAAGACAGAAGAAGAGATGATCCCCGGGCGTCAGCGGGGACATTACCTTTCTCACGCATCAGATCTTTGATGGCCTGCCACTTCATGTCGTAGGGAATGTTACTGATGAACACTCGGTTCCTGTGACCGCTCTTCTTCTCTCCTCCATGTTTGTCTTTGTAGGGGTGGAAGCGGGYTCCTCTTTTGTTGGAGGAGGACTTGTCCTTGGACTCGTGCTTTTCTTGGGCGTCTTTATTCTCCTCGTCCCTGCAAACAGAGGAAGAGCCACAGATCAAAGGGCTGCATGTGTACAATGTCACTGCATTAATTACTGTTTAACATTTCTGTACTGATCTGCCTAAACTGAGGAGAAAACATCAACAAATGAATTCACTCAGTGGAGTCAGTGAAACATCAAAAACTGGAGCTTCTACAATGTAAAGTYCCTACCTCAACTTGACTCAAAAAGGAGCAAAATAAAGAAATAAAACCTTTGAATACACAGTTTGTGTTGAACTACAGTCTGAACAGTTTACTGTAACATTTTATTTAAGAAACACTGCCTTTAAATAGAAACAGGGATGTCGACATGTCGTCAGCAGCTGCTGCCATTTTCTTCCAAACTGCTGTGACCAGATGTTGCCAGCTGCTCTGTGTTTGCTTCTTATTTCCTCCTTGTAATGGATCTAATACTTATATGTTTAAGTAAATAATTCMTGACATCCTTTAATGACCTAGGTTTTCATGACTTGCTGTTCATCTGCAGACAGAATGATTAAAGTCAGAACAAGATTTACTAACAACAGTCATTCTTAGATATCACTTGTGTTTATCTTTGTGTTTTCCATTGACCTTGTATCAAATCTTGCTAAGATGACAGAATGSTGTTTGTTAATATAAATATGAGTGAGTGACACAGTGTTGAACAGTGACAGAGAGAAGCAGAGGCACAGGGACAGGGCAGGTTGTTCTCTGTGTTTCCTGTTGTTGTAATAAAACTCAGCTGATCATCTCACAGAGTACCTTCATTCTTGGACCACGTATTTCTGTCTTTGTTAAATAAATATTACCATAACACTCCTGCTTCGTTATCTCTGTGAATTTCAACAAAGCGTGCTGCCGTCAGGTAGTCAGCTACAGCCTCGTCTTCCAGTTTTTGATTTAAGTCGATGCGTTTTGAAGAGACACTTTTTTGAAAATAGGATCAAAGTAAATCATGAGTTTTTCTACTGAACCTTAAATAGATGAGCTGCCATGAAGAACAATATTTACCTGCTCTTCTTCCAACTTTGATAATGATTTGAAAAATCAAAGTGTTTTTTTAATCCAGAACAGCACTTGTTGCAAAGTGTGTTGACGCTCGTCTTCATCACCTGACACATTTAACACGCTGTCATTGGTTGATGAGCTTTGTTTACAACATGTCCACATGGTTTTTAAATTATTTTAACTTCCTTACTTTCTCAGACACATTACGGTAATTGGATGCTACAGTTTGTCCTGTAATATTATTTTATACCATTTCTGCTACTTTTGCATTGGTTATTATTAAGTTTAATTAGTGTTCAAGATACAAGATGCTTCCAACAAAAACC